CAACGGAGTCAACATACTAGACTAGTTTGTATTTAAACCAGCCAGGGTCACTGTAAGCCAGGAAGTTTTTTTGTTTGTTTTTTTTTTTCACAAGAATTGACAGTACTGGTATCTTAAGTAATTATGTTTGTTCAGGTTGATTTTGATGCCAGGTTTATGTTTAACTCTAAGTACAAGAAGCTTGAAGCTGGTGCATGATTTGACATTCTTCCCTCTTCCTGTCACAGGTGCCAGACGTCAACATACAGCTGAACTGTGGATACCAGAAAGCAGACCACACTGGGCCACCTCAAAGTCCTGGCTAGCTTCTCAAAGCTCAGTTCCTGGTAGGAACTGAGCTTTGAGAAAACAATGGCAATGAAACTTTGTGGAAACAAATGCAGTTTATAGTACAAATGTACTGTCACAGGTGTGAATTATTGTCTTATGACTACTGTATGTGATCACACATTATTTCCCAAGAACTACTGATACTTGTAACCTTAAGCCAGCTTTTTCATTGTCAGTTTTTGTATGAATATGAGCAGATTAAGAAGTTCTTCAGTAATCCATACGTACATGTGTTGAGCGTGCCTTCTCATAGTTATTGTTATTATATTCAATTATAGAAACATGTTTCGTTCCACCGAGATAGATAACATAACTACAAAAATTATATAACATCCTGAATTAAGATGAACTAGTGTTTATTCCATCCATAATTGATAACGGTAGCTATTTGTGCAAACTTCTCTGATTGAAAAGTGCCTCAGGTTCATGAGTTTTCTCGGAGAACACTACATTCCCCACTGCATGCATGTTTTGTGGACTCAATGTGTGGCTTGTGCCACAGAAAGTTGCCCTTCTGTACGTCACTGACCCCTACGCTGTGAAAAAATCTGGTGAGAACCCTGTATTCTACTCTCCATTAAACATATGGAAAAACCATATGAAACAATAGGATTGAGGAGAATGGTGAACATTGTAACAATGCTTTGAACACGCATATACTTGTACCAATGAGGGAAATTTTACTGCACTACATGTGTACATGAAGGATTTCAAAGCTTGAATTGAAAAATCACTTTGCTGTTTATTCCCCTAATGTGAAAAAAATTGATTGAAAATCACTTGTAGCCCAGGTGCTGAGTGGTCATTGTGTGAATTATGTTGGTATCAGATTAACCATTCAGTGAAGAAGTTCCTAATCTTGTTTGTGATTGTTTAGGACTGGCCACATTGCAGGAACAAAGTTGAGCTACAGTAGAATCAGTCAAGTCAGGTTTAAGTCAAAGTGGTTTAGAGTATTTGTTCAGTCTTATGACTCCAGTACATGATGATGACCCTGTGGATTATTGATATGTGTAGTATTACGAGAAAGGTAGCTGAAAACACTGGTTTCACTGTCATGTGTGTCAATAAAATCACACAAATCTTGCTTTTCAGATGTTGTGTTGAGTGTGTATTTTCCTAGTTATAATATGATATAAAATGAGATACGTTGTATATGAACACAAAAGATCATTTCATGAATTACAGATGAACTAGAGTTTATTCACAATAGATAATAGTAGTTATTTGCATAAGTTTCCCTGAGGCAAAAGAGGGTCTGTTACACTGACTGAACAAGGTACTGACTTAAGTAGAAGCTGTAACCTTTCCATAAAGTCTCTTATCATTGGTTCACGCCTATCAGCATTCATTTTAGTGCAAATTTATCATCTCTGAAAGTCAACAAAATAACGGTATTATCCTGTACACCCAAAAGTCTTATGAACTCGTGTAACACTTAAATAACGGTTAGCGTAGTCAATATAGGCAACTGAGGGGTTGATGAGCTATAATGATTTCACAAATTACACGTTTGTCTTCTCGGTGATATTTCATGATTTTAGCATATCGATTCAGTTATACATGTACGTGTTCATGTGTAATCATTAATAGATATATCATCCAAATTCAGAACGAATAATCCAATTAAATGCTTGGCGAGATAAAGAGTATCACCTAATATGCTCTGTGCGCTTAAGATAAGACGATTAAGACGATTAAGATAATTTGCACCGCATGTAAGCGTTTTTCTTTCTTAAACGAATATCTCACGTCGTATGTAATTTTATAGATTCATACAAGGCAAGGCTAATATACTTATCTAGCTGTCCAGTTAATAGATAGGCTTTTCTTTTCTATTCCTTGTGAAGATACAAGATATACACGGCATGCGAAGTTGTTAGAGAAGTACGATTTAATCTCTAGATGGTTAAATGATAGTAACTCCACAGTGAATTATTGTTTCGATATGAGAATTTGGCTATCGGCTATCAAAGCATTTACAAATCAGTCCCCAGAATTTGAAAGAAATCCGTGGAGTTCTAAGCGCGCTATGACCGCCGAGATGTTGCGGTTTCCTTGTGGCAAGAAGACGTCATCCCAACATTACAATTCTAGGACCGCGTCGCACCACCCTGGTCGCACAGAAGTGCGCTTTCATTCATAAAACGAGTAGGGTCTTGTATATCGGGACAGAACTCTCACAATACCAGGCCGATGTGCTGATCTAGCTGTGCTGTCAATAAAACTGCTAATTATGCCTTGTGAAAATACAATCTTCAATTGAGATGACATGTGAACTGTGATATATGAAGTAGTTATGGAAGTTAATCTCCAAAAGCTTTAAAGATAGTTAACTCAAAAATAAATTGTGATATCGGAATGGGATTTTGGGCATGGGGTGGGAACGCATTTGAAAATTAGTCACTCAAATTTGAAAGAAATGCGTTGAAGTCTTAGCGAAATATAACTCCCAGACCTCTTGGCAAGGAGGCGTCGTCCCAACATTGCGTTCCTCATAGACGATTTTAGGATCGCATCTCACAGAAGTGCGTTTCCCTTCATAAATTGATAAGGATTTTGTATATCCGGTTTAAACTTGCACAATACCAGGTTGATATACTGACCTGGTTGTGGTATTAATAAATTTGCTCTTCCTTCATTTTTTGTGAGAATATAGACCATTCACCTGTCTCTAGTTCTAGGGGCGCGAAGTAGTAAAACGCGTTCCTACCAAGAATTCTTTAGAGCCAAATAAATGACGTTGTGATCAACACAGGTACAACATATTTTGGACACGGATAGCCTACGATACTATATAACTTTGAACAAAGTAACTTTGACCGTAACCCAAACCGTTCGTTAGTAATTAGACGAAAACCCGTTACAACTTCCCCATGCGATTTTGGTTCAAAGTGCAGCAAATAAATATTGGGGGAATTCAGGACAATTCCGTAACAAAATTGACTGATAATCACGTAAGACACCCATTATTGGTTAATCTTACCATTCCCTCACAATTCCATCTTTTATTTTAGTTGTAACACATTAAAGATAAATCTAGATATCCTGGCGAGATGCAGAGGAACTGCAGCAAAATAATATTTTTTTTCAAGAGATTGCGCAGGGGGGGCTCCCTTATCAATATTTCCCAACGAAACATACATATCTGACCTTTACATATCACAGCGAACCCAACAATACCACTTTTTACAAAATAGCTCTGCGTTGAAAATTTTACATCATTAGCATATAAATCCCTTTTCTGTCCAGGTCCAGCCCCCCCATCAATATTTCTCAATGAAACATGCATATTTACACTTGGTGTATCGCAACGAACCCAACAATACCACTTTTTACAAAATAGCTCTACGTTGAAAATTTGTCGTCATTGGCATAAAAATCCCTTTTCTGTCCAGGGGGCCCCCATATCAATATTGCTCAACGAAATTTACATATTTGAACTTGGCGTATCGCAAAGAACCCCACAATACCAATTTTTACGAAAAAGCTCCGCGTTGAAAATTTGTCGTCATTAGCATAAAAATCCCTTTTCTGTCCGGGGGGCCCCCATATCAATATTGCTCAACGAAATTTACATATTTGAACTTGGCGTATCGCAAAGAACCCCACAATACCAATTTTTACGAAATAGCTCCACGTTGAAAATTTGTCGTCATTAGCATAAAAATCCCTTTTCTGTCCAGGGGGCCCCCAATATCAATATTGCTCAACGAAATTTACATATTTACACTTACCCAACAATAGCAATTTAAAAAAAAAAGCTCCACGTTGAAAATTTTTCATCATTAGCGTAAAAATCCCTTTAATACTGCACCACAGCTAGCCCCCTCCCTTCAATAAATGCCTAGGCCAGCAACTAGTCCATTGTTTCCTCCCTGAGCCTCTTCAGGCTTTTTCATTAAATTTCAATACATTAAAATACAATATTCTAAAAAGCCTATTACCTATACATGTACATCAATATTCAAGACAAAAAGTACTGGAATAATTGCATACAAAGCTTGATATGTCAATTTGCTTGATGACTAGGGATATTAATCGAGATGAAGCTGAAGAACAAATCCTGAAGATAAAGTGTGTGACACAAAGACATAATAAGTACATTTTTGGCAAAGGAGGTTTGTTTAATGTTTATAGATTGACTGATAAAATGATACCTGCACAGCCACACTCATTATGTATTTTGCTATTTCATTGTTTGATATATTGCAAACAGTGTGTGCAAAATTGCAATAAAGTTCATGGTACCTTCTGTGCAAGGATATGATACTTGAACTAATGAAAACTGCTGCCGTTTATATTTAGTCATAAAAGATAGCACAGGCCTTCAGAAATGTTTGCCTTCAGAAATGTTTGCCTTCAGAAAGGTTAATGTACAATTCAAGGTTAATTATCAAAGTATACAAGAATACCTTTTCTACAAGAATACCTGAAGAATGAATAGATGAAGAATACATTTTCTACAAATTACACATCATTTGTGGTATGCTAGGTAAACAGTACATGTGTATTGTATATACAATATACCATCAACATTACAAGAAAGTGGTCAGGTCATTTTACCTAAAAATCAGCTGACATGCCTACATATGTCAAATGTGTTATCTTATCAACACTTGTTTTAAAACTAAATAACAGCCTTCCTTCCAGTTGGGCAAGATAGCTGACTAGTTACAGTGGTGCCTGCTATCCTCTGTTCTCACTGCCCTGAGAGCAAGCCTTGTGCAGAAATTTTGTTGAAGCAAGCTTAAGTGCTTGATGACTTTGACTGTTATTTTCTCATAGATCTGCTTTCTTATTTGGCACACAGCTTCATTTTCAATGCTTTCCTCAAAGGTGAAGTCCTCCCGGTACTCCTCCATGGCCCTGGAGAACAATAGAATGTACATGTCTATTTACAGTTGCTAAGAATTAGCAACAAAATTCACAAGTGTGAAGAATTAGCAAACTAGTATACTAGTATTCTAATTTTTACATAATTTAAGGCATTTGATAATCAAGAAAACTTGAGTAACTTACATCATACAGAGGGTCGGACTCTGCTCTCCACTCGCCGTCATCAGCTGCAAACTGGCTTTCCTTGACGTTTCGCCCCTTGTTGCAGTACGTCTCTAGCCAGCGGGGCGACAGCGACGGCCACTCGCTGCCCGGCGAGTGGTTATTGGGTGGTATTCCTCAGTGTCCATACCCAGAGTGAGGCATCGACGGTGGTCTTGGTGACTCTCTTAGTTACTTCTCTCCTCTTCTTTCCTGCTACTCCTAACTGTCCCAGTGCCTTCCACAAGGTCTGTCCTATAAAACCCCTGCATCCTACTTCCACTGGGAAGTACCAGGTCTTACAACCTTTCTCTCTACATCTGCTCACCAGTTCCTGATACTTCATTCGTTTCCGCTCGTTCGCTTCTTCCATCCTGTCCTCCCAGGGAACAGTCAATTCTAGCAGCACTACCTGGGTCGTTTTCCTAGAAAACAGGATCAAGTCTGGTCTTAGGTTCGTGTCGATGATATCTGCCGGGAAGGCCAGTTGTTTGTCAAGATCAGCATGTAAGGACCCAGTCACTTGCTGATGCTATGATTCCTATCCGCTCTCTTTCCTTCTTCTCTTTACTCTTTCCTTTCCATCCCTCCTTTACAAAGCTGATGAACTGCAATCCCTTCCTCTGTTTTCCCTTGACCTTATTCTCCGTTATCTGTTCTTCTACTGCACTGGCTATCACTTTCAGGACTTGGTTGTGGCGCCAGGTGTACCGCCCCTTGCCTAGTGCAACCGGACAGCTTGTTAGGACGTGGCTAAGGTTCCCTGTCTTGCCACAGAGCTCACACTTGTCTTCATCTTTCTTCCTCCACCTCTTCAGGTTTGCAGCTGTTGGCAGAAGATCGTAAACAGACTTCAGCAGGAATCTTATCTTCGAGGGTTCACTATACATGAGTTCATTCCACATGACCTTTCTTTCTCGTACTCCCTCCCATCTTGTCCAAGCTCCTTGAACCCCCTGGCTTACTGCTCTTGATCTCCGAACCTCTTCCTCTTGCTGTCTAACTTCCTTCTGGATCAGTTCCCTCCTCTCCCTTGGGCTAGCAGTACCCCATCTCTGGGTTCCTTCCCTTCCTGCTCCAAACCCTCTCCTGCCTTGAGCTACTACTCCGACGATGTCTCTATGCTTAAGTCTACTTGTTGCGCTGGCGACTGCTTCTGCTGCTGCCCACGTCTTTCCTGATCTTAGTCTTATTCCTGCCTGGCTAACCAACTCGTCTCGACTCTCCTGTAACATTAGTTGGGCTCTTGCCTTCGTCACTTTATACTCTTCTTCCATTGACGTTAGTGGCAGCTGTAGTTTGGCTGTTTTGCTGTACAATCCTATGCTCGTCAGTCCTGGAGGCACCCCCAGCCACTTTCTCAGATGTCTGCTCACCCTCCTCTCTACTTCCTCCACAACTGTAAGGGGTATATCGTACATGGTCATTGGCCATACTGCTCGTGGTAACAATCCATACTGGTAGCACCATACTTTGTATCTCCCGGGGAGTTCACTATTCTCAATGGCTTCTAGCCCGTCTCGCATCTGTTGCTTGAATTCTTCAATGTTCTTTTTGTCACTTAATTTTACATCAAACTTCTTCCCTAGGCTTTTGATGGGCTGCTCCGCAATTGCAGGGATTCTTTCCCCCTGCACTTCTAGCTGCAGCTTGTCACAGATCTTCCCCCTTCGCATCACCAGTTTCCTGCACTTTTTGGCTTTGAATTTCATTCTAGCCCAGCTGGCTGCCTTGCTCAGACTCCTGAGTACGTATCTTGCACTAATCACACTTTCAGTCGTTACTGTCAGATCATCCATAAAGGCCTTAAGTGGCCTCTGCCTTATTCCGGAATCAGTCTTTGGCCCTCTGGCTTGGCCTAAGGCTGGCTTCATCACCAGGTTCATTGCAGCCACGAACAATATCACCGATATGGTGCATCCTGTGATAATGCCTTTCTGCAACCTTTGCCATGATGTTGTGTAGCCGTTTACAGTGAATCTTATCATCAGTCCATCCATGTACTGCTCAATAAGGAGGCGTACCGGTTCCGGAACGTAGTACTTCTCTAAGGCCACTTTAATCAGCTGGTGTGGTACCGACCCATAGGCGTTCTGAAGATCCAACCAGACTATTGCTAAGTCCTTCTTCCCTGCTTTAGCTTCCTGTATCAGTTGTGACAGTATGCTTGTGTGCTCGAGACACCCTGAACACCCTGGTACGCCACCTTTTTGAATAGAAGTGTCAATGTAGTTGTTATCCATCATGTACTTCAGGAGCCGCTTGGCTAGAACAGCAAAGAAAATCTTGCCTTCCACTGACAATAGGGATATCGTCCTAAATTGTTCAATCCCTCTTGCGTTTTCCTGCTTTGGACAAAACACTCCTTCAGCTTTCTTCCATCCCTGTGGTAGCTTCTTTTTCCTCCATACTACTTTCAGCAGGCTCCAAAGTCTTCTTGTAAGTCTTGGGCATTTCTTGTATACCCTGTATATTATTCCACTTGGCCCTGGTGCTGCACCAGCCCTCGCTTTCCTGATCACGTCCTTCACTTCCGCTAACTTCAGCTCACTACAGTCTAATTCCCTGGTTGGTTGTTCAGGGTCTGGAAACTCGTCTTTAGGCCTATCTTCCAGAGGGACCTCTCGCTCTACATCCCCATGCGTTTTCTGTAGGTAACTCTCTGCCTCTTCCTTGCTACAGGTTAGTCTGCCACTCGTCTTGGCTCCTAGCAGCCGTTTTGTAAATCTGAAGGGGTTAGACATGAACTCTGCACGCTTCTTCTCTTTCTGGCGTCTCCTTTTCCTTGTCCTTTCTGCATTACTGAGACTGCGCAGTCTCACTCGTAGTTCTTCCCTTAGTGAACTTAGGGCATCTTTTTCTTCCTGACTGGCTTCTTTCCATCTCTTTCTCAGAGCCTTCAAATCTTTCCTTATTCTTTGTTTCTCTCTTTCTCTGCGGTTGGGCTGATTAATCTGTGGTCTTCCTTTCCCTAGCTCCTTCTCTCCAAATCTTTCCAGCCCTACGTTGTACACCACTTTCACCAATGCCTCTAACTTCCTCTCCACGCTTCCTGCCAGTACACCCTCTAATATGCCCTCCAGATCCTCGTCTAACTGCTCCCACTGCTTGTCTGCGTTACCTGGTGGCCATTTCACCCGTGCTTTTCTTAGTTCTTCCGCCTCTTCTACGCCTGGTTCCTGATCACTCTGACCAACCGGTTCCGTCACCACTGGGCTGGACCCCTGGGTGCTTGCTATCTGCTGACCTCTCACTTGGATGCCCTGAGGACTGTGGTGTGCCTCCTGCCTCTGGGTTTCCTCCGTCTCACCAAGACCTTGAGGTCTCGCGCGTTGGTCGAGGTTCTTCTGTCTCTGCAAGCACCCCATCTTTGTTTGATGTATCTTAAGGCCTCTGTTTTTCTTGCAGATTTTGCCACATCTACAAGTTCTTTCTGGAGTCGTATGTCCCAATTCGGTCCGGGTCGTCATTCTTAGGTCTGTCCCAACGGAGCTTTCTTCCGCCCCCCCTCTCGGAAGCTCCCGGGGGTATCTTTCTGTAGTGACTGAAGTATACTAGTATTCTAATTTTTAGATAATGAATCATTATACAAAATAAGTGATTTACCACTAGAATGACAGTTTGCTACCAGGCTACATGTATAACTTATAGATTATTTGCCAAACCTGTTTATGTGACAGTAATTACAGCTACCAGCACTGTACCCGTATGTCTGCCCTCCCCCTTCGCCCTTCACATGACAGGCAGAATGTTATTCAAAGTGCATATTGTGAAAAAATTAGTGTATTCGAAATATTCGGGCCCATTTGATTCTAATCTGAATGTGATCAGAGCTGTTTTCAATGCTGTTAGAATGCATTCGTTTTAGCAATTTTATTGTCGGAAAATTGATTTTCAATGCTGTTAGAATACGCCGTTTTAGCGATTTTTTGTCGGAAAATTGATTTTAAAATTGCATAGTTGTTTTAAGGGAATATCAAATTTTTATATGAATGATAGATGAGACTAGATTTCAGTAACACTTTAAGTATATTTCCCCACTTCAGATATTTGACTAGTAAACAGAAATTTGTATTCCTTTTAACTTTTGATAAACCTACTCTAAGTAATCTCACAGCCGCATATATTCATACAATCACTACTAAGCGAAATGAAGCCGAAAATAATAGAAATTAGACTTTTATTTACACTCCTATATGTTCATATTTATGTAATGTATATATGTTTATGTTCATGTTCTGTACCCATGCGACCTGTACTTAGTTCTGTAGAACACAAATGTACAATAAAGATCTTCATTCATTCATTTAAGCCTTCTCAAGTTATCGTCTCCACAGACGGACGGACGGACACACACACGTACACACACACACATACACGCGAACGCCTCTGAAGACATAGCCTTCTTGCCAAAGGTAATTAGCACTTTGATACGGTTAGATACATCTTTGGATAGGACATAAACTGGAGGTTGTGTGTTTGGGGAGAGCCACACTCCACCACATCTTTCGAAAAAGAGTAGGGGCATGCTGCAAGTCGGTGATTTACTACAAAATAAAAAATAAAAAAGTCGCTAATCCACACACGTCAGCAAGCCTTCGCAAGAGGGGACATTGCCACGTGGAAACTACTCCGAAACAAAGTCCAGCGTAAAATCAAGGCGTCTAAAAAGACTCACTACAATACCAAAATTAAAGATCTTAAAAACCAACATGCTTGCCAGTGGCATAAGGAAACCAAAGCTATGGCCAACATGAACCGTTGTGAACCTGTTATCAACATT